ACGGACTGTAGTGTCTTTAGGCCATTCCCAAAGGGGGGACATTTCTCGTTCAAGCACAGTAGAATTGTAAATGGGCTAGCTGATTCATGTCACGCTCATAACTGTGCCTGATCTACAACAGGGAACTTGCTTTTTCTTTCCTAATCCTTACTATTGTCATTTTTCCTCTACTTATTTTATTGTATGTTTGTCACTCTCTTGTGACCTGCTATTTCCGGGGTGCCTTAATAGTCGAAGCAGACCTTGTGCTGTTGAAGCTAGAGAGGTGAGCAGAATAAGTCTGATTACCTGTAAAGACTTCTCTGTTGACACCCACCCTAGACGATCAGAGAACGTATAGAGCACCCACCCTTTGGCGCTTATATGACCTTATGCAGTTGCGAACGCCGTAAAACTCTTTTACTATAAATTTTTAAAAATTATCTTACTGCATGTTTCCTCTCGGTCGGTATAATTTTGACCTGTCTTGGTCACGTCCCCTCTCCTTATTTATGGCCTGCTCTCATTGCATTAGTGCGCACAATACACCAAATCTTTTCTATTCTTCTTCTTATACTCCTTTTTCTTCGTCATTTTCTTCCTGTTCTTGTTCTTTTTTGTTCTTGTTCTTGTTCTTGTTCTTGTTCTTCTTGTTCTTGTTCTTTTTCTTCTTCTTCTTCTCCTTCTTCTTCGTGGGTGGTTGGCGGGTGCTCTGGTGTGGTTTACTCCTTCTTTCCTATCAAGCACCTATGGTCCTTATCTCTCCTCCTCCTTTTTTATGTATGTAACTCTCTTGTAACGCATATATTCTTTGGCACTTATGACTTTATTGTTGCAACGCAGCAAGTGCCGTAAAACTCTTACTAAAACTACTAAAAACTCTGCTTCCTCTTCCATCACTGGAGCATAAATGTGATGATTTGAATAATTATGCGCACATTTATTGACCAACTTCACCACATACCACTACTTCTGACGTATTGACTGAGATGACTCCTCGCTCTTCCTTCTGTATCCGGTATTAACTATAGGAAATAACAAGGGGAAGTAACCTTGAGAGAAACAGACTATGAAATGTACGGCGTGACATAGTTTTGAGGCACTGCGTCACCGCGTAAATAACATGATGCGAAGTGGGGCCAGCTGACGGATGAAATATCTCTCACTAGTTATCTCCGTCTCAAGTGTATAACTTATAAATCATAACACAATGAAAATCAATGCGCAATACCCTGGTACGGAAAATATTGCTCCATCCCAAGGAGTTTAGAACTATTGGAGCCTCCTCTCTCTCTTCGCGGCGCCACGAGCAAATATGGCCGCCGACTGTGGTCTAAATCACGAACTGCGGTGTTTCTTTTTATAGAATCTTATCGGGCTGGGCCACGTTGTGGGGGTGGGCGGGGTGGGGGAATGCACGCAAGGAAGAGGAGATGGGGCTGGGATGAAAGAGGAGGGGCGGGCCTTGGGAAGGGACGAAGGAGAATGGGAAAAATTAAATAAAAGAGAGGGAGAGAGAGAGAGAGAGAGATTGTGGTCAACTGATGGGATGACTGATAGAATGACAGGGAGAAAAAAAAATTAATTAAATTCTGAGTGTGATACGGACTGTTCTAGGCAATTGAGAAAGCCTATATAGGGACTGTTCAATTATTTAAGAGTTTTATGTTACAATAAATAGATCTATAGCTAGTTTAAAAATCAAGAAGATCGGCAAAATAGAAGAAAACTTATCCAAGTATCATAAAATTATCAAACATACCAAATTATAAAGATAATCTTTCATGACGCTACAAGATTTAATTATAATTTAAAAAATTGTAAAAAATGTATTTTTTAAACTGAATTTAAGATATATATATTACTGCATGATTCTAAACATGGGTATGAGGGGCCTTGTTGGCTCTACCTAACAAAACATGCCTTGGCTGTAAGTAGTGTAAGTTCAGGCGATAGGCTCTTATTGCGAGTTCGATGTTCGGCAAAATCAAAGGCGTCGATGAGGAGTTCACACCTGGGCGTGATTCCTTTGTCGTAAAATCCTTGCGTCTGGAGCAAACGTGTACCTCGCATCGAGATTTAGAGCGGAGATGTGATCCCATGCATGAGCATGGATGACCTTTGAAGTTTATTTTTTGTTCAGTAAAGTACGATAGGGAAAGCAGCGTTTTTAGTCCCTTCACACTTCAGAGGGGGATAATGTATCTTAGGGATGACTAGTGCAGTAAAATTTATTGTTGCTTTGTTTGGTTTATTTTTTAACAGCGAAATCTTAAGTGAACCAAAATGATAAATTGTGGGATCTTAGGTGAAGACTGCAACAATAGATTTAGATCCAAACCGAGTACAGTTCTATCAAACAAGACTCAAACTCTTATCCACCCGCCCTACCCCCTACCCTCATCTGATGTTAGTGATATGGTTTGGTGTTTCTTTAAAATAGAAGGATTCATCATTGTTGTTGGGTATTGATTTCATATTTTAATGGAGCCTCTCGATATCTACATCTAGACTACAGTAGTATAGTAATTGATGAATGGGCTTAAAAACATAAAACAAGTCTGGCTGACGGATTGAACTCAATACACTAAGGTGTGTTGTATGATTAGTAAATATAGGAAAACAAGATACATGTAGAAACCTAGACTCTAGATTTGTCCGGTCAAAATAAAGGTCTGCTGCGCGTAGCATCTAATGTACACACACAATGGAAAGCAATATACTTTAATGAAAATGTAAGAAAAAGAATGTATCCCTTTCTGTCCGGATTGGCCTTGGCAGGTAGCGCCGGAGCCAGCCTTTTATAAATGTTAATGATCTAAATTGTGTCGCTGGGGGCATAAAAACACTTTCATTCAGATTTTTTAAAAGGAAAACAACACCTGTGAAAACTTCTGTCCACTGCAGCATCATATCGGTTCTTACACTTAAACACTTGTCTTGTTTGATAGAACTATACTTGGTTTGGATCTATAATCTACTGTTGTAGTCTTCACCTAAGATACTAAAATTTATCATTCCTGTTCACTTAAGATTCCGCTGTTTAAAAATAAACCAAACAAAACAACAACAAATTTTACTGCACTAGTCATCCCTAAGATAAATTATCCCCCTCTGAAGTGTGAAGGGACTAAAAACTCTGCTTTCCCTATCTTACTTTACTGAACAAAAAAAAAAACCTTCAAAGGTCATCCATGCTCATGCATGGGATCACATCTCGATGCAAGGTACACGTTTGCTCCAGACGCAAGGATTTTACGACAAAGGGATCACGCCCAGGTGTGAACTCCTCTTCGACGCCTTTAATTTTGCCGAACATCGAACTCGCAATAAGAGCCTACCGCCTGAGCTTACAGCCAAGGCATGATTCATTAGGTAGAGCCAACAAGGCCGCCTCATACCCATGCCCATAAAATTATCAGGAAGGCATGTAGAATAATATTGTGTCAACATGATTGCCCATCACCATGAACTGAGTTCGCTTCATTAATAAGGACGGGAGGAACGCAACGACACAATAGCTAACAAAAACTTTACTATTCCTGCATCAATAATAATAAGTTTTGATCTCATTCGAAAAGTCCAAAGGTGCTGTTATCTCTCTGTTTTATAATATTTGAAATTATTGTGCGCTCCACTTTGTGAAAAACAGGAAACAAAATTATTGTAATCAATAATAGGCCTATTATTATTTATAGACCAAGACATAATACTGTTAGCAATCGGATAAAGCTGGCATCGACCCTCTTTTGTGTTCGCTGTTCCTTACACATAAAGCTAGTTATGACACACGCCTAGAATCATGCAGTCATATCTTAAATTCATTTTTCACCATTTGTTATTATAATTAAATCTTTTAGCGTCTTGAAAGATTATCTTTATAATTTGGTATGTTTGATAATTTTATGACACTTGGATAAGTTTTCTTCTTATTTTGCCGATCTTCTTAATTTTTAAACTAGTTATATAACATAAAACTCTTTAAATTGTACAGTCCAAAGGCTATCTCAGTTGCCTAGAACAGTCCGTATCGCACACAGAATATAATTTTTTTCTCCCTATCATTGTATCCATCCTCTCTAGTGGATCACTACCGTGTTGTGGTTAGAGAGCTTGTGTGCCTCAGTGACCCCAAGAGCTACGCTGGCTGGAGCTAATGCTCCTGGTAGGGCCACCCATGCCAGACAGGTCGGCGGGTAGAGGTCAGACGAAGCGTGATCCACCGGCCCTACAGGTTTCGGAGGTTCAGCTCAGGGCTAACAACCCAGACTGGTAAAAAGCATATGTTACGGAAACAGCAACAAAGAGAAACCACATTTCTGTGTGTGATGGACCTTCGTATGAATGCAGGCAGTGAAAGCCGCACGGAAGCTGTTTGCAGGATGGAAGACCTGAACACCGCAAAGACAAAAGCTATCCCAGGACTGTGGAAATGACTGTGGACAATGTATGAAACTGGTAAGTTGGCACAAGTAACAGCAGAGATGAGGAGATATGGATTGCACATTCTGGGCATACGTGAAAGTCACTGGACAGGATCCGGCAGACTGAGAACAGCAACTGGAGAAACACTGATCTATTCCGGCAGAGAAGACAACCAACACAGGGGAGGTGTAGCTATCATCCTAAAAAAGGGACTTGAGAAGTGCCTCATGGAATGGAAACCGATCAACAGCAGAATGATGACACTGAGACTGAGGGGAAAGCACACCAACACAAGCATCATCCAATGTTACGCCCCTACTAACGACAGTGAAGATGAAAGCAAGGACTATTTTTATGAACAGCAACAGAGGGAATTGACTAGTATACCTCGTCACGACCTTATCGTTGTAATGGGCGATCTGAATGCTAAAGTAGGAGAGGACAACACCAACTATGAGAGAACGATGGGACAACATGGTACGGGAACAAGAAATGAGAACGGTGAAAGACTAGTGGACTTCTGCGCATTGAACAACTTGGTGATAGGCGGAACCCTCTTCCCACACCGTACAATCCACAAACTGACCTGGAATTATCCAAATGGCCGGGACAAGAACCAGATTGACCACCTTGTGATAGGAGGAATGTGGAGACGTTCCCTACAGGATGTGAAAGTCAGAAGAGGAGCAGATGTCGGCAGTGATCACCATCTAGTGACGGCAAGGATAAAACTCAAGCTGAAGAAAACATTCACCAGGGAGGCGACAAGGACACGATTTAATGTTCACACGCTCAATGATGGCAATGTGAGATCTGCCTTCCGACTAGAACTAAAGAACAGATTTCAAGCTCTCCAAGACCTGGAAGAAACCACCCCCAATACAGATGAAGTCAATACCCAATGGAAGCATATTGTTGAGGCCTACACAGAAAACAGTAAAACATGTCTTGGTGTCAAGAAAAAGAATGCAAACAAAGAATGGATACAGCAAGGAACTTGGACCACTATTGAAGAACGGAGAGAAATCAAGAAAAGACAGCTTGCAGCTAAATCGATACGGCTACAAGAGAAGTACGCACAGGATTACAAGGAAGCTTGCCAGAAAGTTAAAAGACTGGTTAGGAAGGACAAAAGAGAAGCCATGGAAAAGTTGGCAGCTGAGGCAGAGGAGGCAGCTGCTAAAGGTGAACAAGGCAACATATACAAGATCACAAGAATAATATGTGGCAAGTACCACGGTGGAATGAGTGGACCAATTAAAGACAAGGCTGGCAAGCCGCTGACAATCGAGAAGGAACAGGAAGCACGCTGGACAGAACACTTCAGGGAAGTCCTAAACCAACCTCCACCTGAGGACACCCCAGACATACAGGAAGCTACCTTGGATCTCGATATCAGCTCTGACCCACCACAGAAACACGAGATTGTAAAAGCTGTTAAGAGCATGAAAACAAGAACATCTCCAGGAATGGACAACCTGAATGCTGAATTGTTTAAAGTAGACCCAGAAATGGCTGCCACTATTCTTCAACCACTATTCAAAACCATATAGGAGGGAGAGCAGATTCCCGAGGACTGGAGCACTGGAGTCATTGTTAAAGTACCAGAGAAAGGAGCTCTTAGAGACTGCAACAACTGGAGAGGTATCACGTTGCTATCAGTTCCCAGCAAGATCCCGGCCAAGATTATTACTAATCGGATGTCGGATGCCGTAGACAGCTACTTAAGAAAAGAACAGGCAGGGTTCCGCAAAGAAAGAAGATGCACAGATCAGATATTTGCCCTCCGCAACATAATAGAACAGTGCACGGAATGGCAGAGACAACTTTATGTCAACTTCGTTGATTTTGAAAAAGCATTCGACAGTGTGCATAGAGAAAGTCTTTGGTACATTCTACGATTTTATTGAATTCCTTGCAAGATAGTGGAGGTCATCAAGAGCTTCTACCAAAACTTCAAGTGCGTTGTTGGAAGCAGTACCACTGATTTTGAGGTACAGACAGGAGTTAGACAAGGATGCAACATGTCAGCAATTCTGTTCAACCTGGCCATTGACTGGGTCATGAGGAAAACAACAGAGGATACATCAAGAGGCATAAGGTGGACCCTCTTCTCCACCCTCGAGGATCTTGACTTTGCCGACGACCTTGCACTACTCTCCCATACCAACCAGCATATGCAGGAAAAAACAAACCGACTCCACAAATACGGACGCCAGATTGGGTTAAGAATAAGCTAGAAGAAGACAGAAATGATGACAGTGAATGTAGGCTCCCCAACGCTGATTAGAGTGAACAACGCAGACCTGCCTTTTACCGACACATTTACCTACCTAGGCAGCATAATCAAAACTGACGGCGGCGCAAAGGAAGACATCATGAACAGACTCGGCAAGGCAAGATCTGTACACAGAAGCATGATCAACATTTGGAAGTTAGGACAGTTTAGTATACAAACCAAGTTAAATCTGTATAACAGCTGTGTACTATCCGCACTCCTATATGAAGCTGAATGCTGGAGGATGACTGATCATGACCGTGAAAAGATCTTCCTTTCATACAACCAGCTTACGCCAAATCCTCAGAATCTTCTGGCCCGACAAGATATCCAAAGCAGATCTGTTTCGTAAATGTAGGCAAGAGGACATGACAACCATGATAAAAAGGAGAAGGTGGAGATGGATTGGACATGTTCTGAGAAGAGAACCAGACTATATTGTGGAGACTGCCCTCCACTGGACACCCGAAGGACGTCGCAAAAGGGGACCTGGAGACGCACAGTAGATTCTGAAATAAAGTCCTGGAATCATTCGTGGGGAACGCTGAATAGACAGAGCTGGACATCCTTTGTTGCTGCCCTAAACGCCAGATGGCGTAATGGGTAGTAAGTAAGTAAGTAATTCTATCCGTCATCCCGTCCTTGATCACAATCTCTCTCTCTCTCTCTCTCTCTCTCTCTCTCTCTCTCTCTCTCTCTCTCTTTCATTTAATTTTTCCCATTCTCCTTCGTCCCTTCCCAAGGCCCGCCCCTCCTCTTTCACCCCAGCCCCATCCCCTCTTCCTTGCGTGCATTCCCCCACCCCCACAACGTGGCCCAGCCCGATAAGATTCTATAACAAGAAACACCACAGTTCGTGATTTAGACCACAGTCGGCGGGCATATTTGCTCCCCACCTCGGCGTGCTGCTCGTGGCGCCACGAAGAGAGAGAGAGGGGGCTCCATTAGTTCTAAGCTCCTTGCAAGGAAAACAGACAGAACATATTATTATTACGCGTGCTGGACTGGTAAATAGGAGGGCAATCATTTCAAATTTTTGTTCAAGAACAAAAGTTTGTCAACAGTTGTTTTTTGGGTTTTTTTGTTGCCAAGGCAGGTTCTCTTTGATGAAACCAATTCACTAGCCTTGGAGAAAAGCCGTTCTGGCGAAACAGATATTGCTGGAATAACCAAAAGCTTTTTGGCTTTTTGGCTTTCTGGTTGAGTTCCGGGAAGGCTTTTTTCATAATTGTCTCCACCAGGTCAGTGGATTGTCCTCTCCACTTCTGGCCAGGGGCGTCTCAAAGTATCGATTCAGTTGGACTATGATGGCACTGTTTGTAGCTGAGAAGTTTACCTACGCTCCTCTGCTCGAACGTCGAAGGCTTGTCGCAGTTATTATTTTTTTGCAGGATGTTCTGTTTCAGCAGCTGATACCGATGATGAGTCTGGTTTTGATCAGGCCTGTCTCCTTGTTTGTCTCTAATCATTGAAAGAAGGCGAGTTTCCTTTTTTTTTCGTTGCGCCTTTACTGAAAGGAAGCTGTTTAAAACAGGGGTCGAGGATAATATTTGATGTCGCCACAAAATACGTGTCCTTTAGTTGTGTGAAGCGCTTGCGAAGCTCACCCTGTAAGAGAACAGTCAGAGGCCAATATCGATCGAGTACTGTACCGACTAAGAGAGCTCAGTTTCGATACGTACTCAGTACATACTTATTAAGGTTCGAACGAAGGGACGTAATATAAGTACATTTGCATAGGATTTAAATCGAAGGGGAGAAGAAAACTCGGGTACCCGACAACAATACCAGGGTAGCTGGTTTTGGGCTCTTTACCCGGGTAACTGCCCGGGTACTTGCCCAGCCCTTAGTAGGCAGTTTAGTGAACGAGCATGCGGCAGGGCGAATCGGCCTCGTAGACTTTTGTGATCGTCCTTGAAGCCTCCTGTTTTGATGGGTCTAAACAACTCAGTTTTGTGAATCGCACTGCCACATATCCCACAGGCTTTCTTCTTTTGGCATTTTTTGGTCCGCGAATCGCGGCCCCGATTTATATATTAGACATGTATTTTGATAATGTTAAGGTGTCCATTTATAGTTATTTTCATGCTAAGAATGTAGGTTAGGTACATTCTATTTAAATTGCTGTTTGTCTTTTATTTTTCCCTCTTTGTGTGTTTTAATCCGTTGGTGTGTTAATTTTTTTGTTATGTGATGTGATGTTTCTTTGTTGTTTTTGTGTTTATACACTGGGTGTCGCATTCAACGAGGTTGACCGGCTTGTTGTCGTCGTTGGATCCGACCACTCGTTGAATGTGACTAAGACTAAAGTAAAGAAAGGAGACAAGTTATTAATAATATTATATTACACGATGTACCACTACCAGTAATTAAAACAGTTGTTCCCCCTGGTGAAGAAATCTCAAACAGCATCAGTGTGCACGTGTTGAGCTGTGTTCTGACCGTCATTAATCTGCACTATAAAATACATGTATTTTTTTCCCCGGAACACTTCTCGTGTGGAAACACATCCTCTCACATCTAGGCCTAGATCTACATAAAGTAAAGGCGGGAACTGATTTTCTGATCAGGGGAAGAAAAGAAAATTGAAAAAAATGAAGGTCTCGATCTAGACCTACCCATCCAGTTTTTTCACACTGCCCGCATCGTGTTCCCACCTGCCCCCTCCCATCCCCACCGTAGGCTAGCCTTCGCATGTATATCCTCTTGGCTTTGGGGCCCATATTAATGATATTAGGAGGCACACTAGATCTAGAATCTAGCAATACAATGTATCAGTAATCGAGGATGGGCCTTGCGCTTCGCGTGAGATGGAGAGAAAGGATAAAAATTCTTCGCTTTTGAGGCCGGTAATTGCTTTTATTTTGGTTATCGTGACCTCGTTGAAAGCGACTTCAGTCTGTTTGCAACCTCGTTGGAGCTGACGTACGTTTACAAAGAGATATAGAGGAAAAATCGGGGCCGACTTTTCGTTCAATGTGACCTCGTTGAATGCGACACCTACTGTATAGCGTAATGTCATTTAATTTGAGGGTAAGACATGACTTTCCAACGCTTGCGCGATGTAGTCAACTAAAGCAAGCCATCCGATGATTCACATGCGGACGATTTTGTTCATTCCGTCCCACCACCCCAAAAAATGAGTTTCATGGCTTCTGCTCTTCACTGACAGATGATTTTTTTTCCAAAATCTAACTCACACAGCCATGTGCTAAAAGGTTTGTGCTCTACAAGAAGACCAATAGCTCCTAAACAAAAACAAAATCATACTAATGAGTATATGCAAAGTTAAATCTAAGGTCAGCATGGTATTTGTAAGTAATCTGTTTTCTAACTTGTTTGAAAATGTATTTCAGAAGATGCTGCTCATTGCAGAGACAATAATATTTCCCTTTCATTTGATATTCAATACATATCCATTCCACCAACGTTGATGAACCTCAATACACGCACGAACACACTTTTACGTTTCTTTGATTTCGACCAATTTTGCCAAGCTTGAATTTTTAAGGTCAGATTTAAGTGACCATATCTCGATCATCTCTTTACATATAAGTGAAATATTATTGTGTCAGATGATGCAGGATGCTTAGCTTTAAATTGGCATGCTGCATGAGTGGGTATACAAGTGCAAGGTTTTAACACGATGATTGGGTGATTACATTTTCACGTTTCTTTTGGACACCACTGTACAGTAAAACATGTACTCAACTTACATCTGGTGACTGGGTATAAGAAATTCAACTCTTCTTTGTTAGTTGAGCTCATATTTACTCAAAAAGCTGCCTAACGCTCAGCCTTTCCCCATGGCAAGTACTCCTAGCAAAAACATTGTGAACCCCCCGCTCCCCCCCCCCCCCCCCCCAAAAAAAATTATTTTTTTAAAAATCGTACTCCATTTACTCATGTTCCCGACAGATGCTTTTCTCCTATGCTCATTGAGAAAACTATAGATACTGCCATCTGCGGTTGATTCTACAAAGGAGGAAGCATTGTTTGGTCTAAATTCTGGGTCACTGTTACCCTGTTAAAAGTAAACACAATGTCAAGCTCACGCTAGGCTTAGCTCTAGGAACCTCTTACTGATCTATGCATCATGCTCAAGATAATTACGTTGTTCTGACGTTTGATTCTCTTCTTCTTCTTCTCCTTCTGCTTCTTCCTCTTCTTCCTCTAGATCTTAGGGGAAGTCGACCGCTGGTTCTTCAACCTGCAGTACAATTGATTTTTACGTATGTGACCGCTTTTCATACTTTGTAGGGCCCCTTGCTTTCAGGCAGCTACATTTAGATTTCGAAGGTATTGTTTATCACTTTATACTGACTAGACTGTTGTCAGGTTTTGATATGAATTAATTTTGAATTTTGCTTAGTGGCGGCCGAAGCCTACTCTTATCGAGTTTAGAACCACCAAGAGAGCTTAAAGTGCGCAGCTTGCACATGGGACCTCCGAGATTTTTTTCCCTTTCGAAAAAGCCAAAAGTTCGGTCACTGTTACACTAAGATGAGGGATGTGTGGCTGAAAGACAGTAGTAAGAAGGAGCAAGGAGAAGCAGTACTTGTAGAAATAGTCAGGAGCAAAGGAAGAATCGAGCCCACTGGCCGGGGGTGGGCCGGATTAGAGCGAGAAAGT